ATTGGTATCTTTATATATTTGTGTATTTATCTTTATTTATTATTATTTATTTATTTATTTGTTTGTTTATTTATTTATTTTCGATTTCCCTTTCCATGTTACAAAGAAGTAGAAAGAAAAACGAGTTACAGATACGTAAAATCCGGGGAAAAAAACAAACAAACAAACAAACACGAAAGTACTTCTTCTGATAAAGCGAGGAATCCATTTGGTAACAGGCTGTATATTTTGAGAGATCGGCGGCCTGACTCACCGTATGATAAGTCACAAGCTGAGTCAATGCGTGAATCACGAGGAGGACTTAAGGGTTTCTCGTGGCGTAGGGAATGTGACGTCACAGGTATCTTTTTGATTGACCTTTGACCTTTTGGGAGATTTGAATAGGTGAGTGTTTGGGACGAGATAGAAATGGTATTTCGGAAGCGATAGGAGGGAAAGTTTGTTTATTTTTTTCTATAATTCGTGTTTATCTGTCTATTATCTTTTAGATCTTTAGATAAATTTCGTAATTCGTGATGAGTGATTTATTTATTTGAATTAACTTCACTTGGGAGATCATTATTACATTGTTCTTAATAATTCAACACGTCTCTGTTTACAGTCTTAATAAACTCACTCATACCCTAAGCATGCATGTCACTTCCTGTATCTCAAGTAATTTAATACGCTAATTATACTTCTGAATCACCCTTAATATTACGTACGTACAGCTAAGTATTTAAATTTTAGTCTCGTGAGCTCGTGTGTCGGCGCCATCTTGGATTAATAAACGAACGAAGCGAGAGAACTTGGCGCTGGCGTATTCCCTCCGTAAAACAACAGACGATGGCGTTAGTGTAATCAAAGCGTGTGTTTATGTTTTTTTTTTTTTTTTTTTTTTTGTAAGGGATTGGATTCTCTTTTTTTTTTTCTTTTTTCTTCTTCTTCTTAAGGTTGTTCTCTCTTTGTTTTTTTTTCTCTTCTCTTTTGTTTTGTCTTTTTTTGTTTATTTATATGTATATATATATATATTTTTTTTTTTTTGAAGGGTGGGGAGGGGTTATTTGTGATATTTCCTTATTTTGTTTTTATTATTTTGTGTTCTTCTCCCCCCTCGAACTCATAACATTTTGTTTGTTTATCCCCCCCCCCCCCTAATATTTCATCTCTCCTCCTTTCGCACTTTCCTCTATTATTCCAGATTCGTTCTCCTTCGCTTCCTTATCCATCGTCATGTTTGTTGTGCATCGCGTCTAAAGACTCACGGGTCTGTCATGTCACGTGATTAATGGCGGCGGGCGTTGCTTCGTCCATTAGATTAATCGCTCGTCGTGACTGATAATTATCTTGAGTGACAACCCGCGGGCTGTCAAGGTGCCGCCGCCCGCCATTTTAGCTGTGCGTTATTTTCACCGGCGATTTCTAAGGCGCGTTTTGATTGTTGTCTTTATTGGGGTGTGAATGGTGGTGTAAATAGGTTGTTTGCTTGTTGGTGTTGGTGGTGTTGTTTGTATTTTGTTTTTTGGAGTAGTGTTGGTACTGAAATTATTGTTTGGATAGGTGTTGCTGTTACCGTGAAGATAAAATGATAATAAAGAGAAGCAAATTAATTAATCAAAAAGATGTCTGTATGTCTTTTCTTAAAAAAAAAGAAAAAAGAAAGAAAAAAAAGAGGAACACAGTAGATTAGGAGAAAACTAGTAATTTCTAGTTTTAGTGGTCGTCAGTCGATCGAAGGAATTCAATATACGAACCAACAACGAAAAAAAAAAAAATCAAAGAAATAAAGAAAAAGTGCAGTTGAAATTCCGTCACTTACCCCTCCCCCCCCTTCCCCATTCTTCCTCCCTTCCTTTAATAATAATAAAAAAACCACAATACCCAAACTTGAACCTCAAACTTGAATTACCCTCTTTGGGGAATAAAAAAAAGAAAAGAAAAAGAAAAAAAAAAAAAGAAAAGAAAGAAAAAAAAAAAAACTTTCGTAAAACCCGCCCCGCTGTTCTCAATGGCTAGCCTACTTCTTTAAGGTTTAATATCAGTTAGGTTATACAAGCACCGCCATATTCATTCTAAACTTCTCGGGGGAAGGAAGGAAAGAGAGAAAGAAAGGAAGAAAAAGGAAAAAAAATGGAAACGGAGGGAGAGGAAGAACGAAAAGGAGGAATTTACGTTTTTTTTTTTTTTTTTTTTTTTTTTTTTCGTTTTCCCGCGAAAAGTACAATGTCTTTTTTTTATTGTCGGGGAGGTAGAGTTCAAAAAAAAAAAAAGACTGATATGCGTATTTTGTTTTATTTACTGTTTTTTCTTGTGTGTGTGTGTCTCTCTTTTCTATAACTTCTTTCTCTATGTTGCTTTCTCTCTCTCTCTCTCTCTCTCTCTCTCTCTCTCTCTCTCTCTCTCTCTCTCTCTCTCTCTCTCTTTATCTCTCTCTCTCTCTCTCTCTCTCTCTCTCTCTCTCTTTCTCTCTCTCTCTTCTTCTCTCTCTCTCTTTCTCTCTCTCTCTCTCCCTCCCTCCCTC